ATGAAGACGATTATTCCCTCTTCGGATCATCTGGTGTTATACCACTCATTTAGATACTTTCCTTAACTGCCTTATATTATTAAATATTTAAGTGAACATACCTTATTTCTCTAGGGAAGTTTTTAAAAGTTGTTGTTTTATTGTTACTGCACTTGTAAATGTTACAGTGGTTCATTCATGCTGTCAGGTTGCAGTGCATTTTCTATTTTCTTGTGACCTTATTTTTCTACTTTGTAGAAGTGACTGTTACTCAAAATAATCTATATCTAATTGAAATAGTGTTGCCAGTTTAGCAAACAAATATAAATTGTGCCCAGTTACAGGTGAATTTTAAATAAATATTGAATAATTTTTAGTATAAATATGCTCTAAATGTTACATATGAAACACTTATACTGAAAATGTTATTTATTGTTTAGCTGAAATTCAAATGTAACTGGGCATCCTACATTTTACCCAGCAACTCTAAATTGACAGTTTATTTTAATTTAATTTTGTCCTCCAAATAAAAAGAGTAGATAAATTGGTAGATATCTTCTTTGAATATGTCATATATTCGAGACCTGATGAGAGATTTTATTTGTTCAACAATGATTTCTTCAGTGCCTAATGCAGGCATCCCCAAACTATGGCCCGCAGCCCACATGCGGCCCCCTGAGGCCATTTATCCGGCCCCCCACCGCACTTCAGGAAGGGGCACCTCTTTCATTGGTGGTCAGTGAGAGGGGCGCAGTATGTGGCAGCCTTCCAGGGGTCTGAGGGACAGTGAACTGGCCCCCTATGTAAAAAGTTTGGGGACACCTGGCCTAATGTATCCCAAACTGAATTCTGCTACTGTTGTGCTCTGCTCTTCTTTTTTTCCTATTGATGCACAGTCCCTTTCGCCCTCAGGCAAAATGTAAATTTATCATTTTTAGCTTTTCTCCATCCTCAGTCCAAACAGTTACTAAGTCATGGTCCATTTCTCTGTCTCTCTCATTTCCTTTCTCCATTCTTGCATTTCCCATCACTCTCTCTTCCTTTTCATCCCCATAACGAGATTATTTCTCATCCACTGTAAACACCTCAAAAGTTTTTGCCAACCCCAAAGAACTTGCCTTAACCTTGCAATTTGCATATTCTAATCTATTCTTTTGTTACTGTATTTCTTGAAAAAAATAGTCTGTAATTGCTGTTGCAATTTTTTTCACTCCCACACGTTTCTCAGCTCATTGTACTTCTTTTACCCATCACTCTGATGACTTTTTCATAGTGTTTTGTGGTATCTTCACTTCCATTGTGGATACCCTAGATGTTTTATACTCTTATTCCTGTACATTTTTCCCTTGTAGTTTTATTGTCTTATTACTCCAGTTATTGGTTCTTTGCAGATGACTCCTAAGTAGATGTCACTACACTTGACATTTCTTCTAGATCAGGCGTCCCCAAACTACGGCCCGCGGGCCGCATGCGGCCCCCTGAGGCCATTTATCAGACCCCCCACTGCACTTCAGGAAGGGGCACCTATTTCATTGGTGGTCAGTGAGAGGAGCACAGTATGTGGTGGCCCTCCAATGGTCTGAGGGACAGTGAACTGGCCCCCTGTGTAAAAAGTCTGGGGACGCCTGTTCTAGATCCAGGTCTCAGATCCACTAGATAGCCCTCTAAATATTTCTAAACTTACAACACTGAATATTGAGGGAAGCTGTAATAAATTATAATAAAACATTACAAGCATCATAAGGGAAAGATATAATGTGCTAAGAGAATTCTAACAGGCATAGAGGACTTCTGAGATTATGTTCCCATTTTTCTTGTTCTTTGTTTTTTTCAGAGACAGCATCTTGCTCTGTTGCCCAGGCTGGTGTATAGTGGCACAATCATAGCTTACTGTAACATCAAACTCCTGGGCTCAAGTGATCCTCCTGCCTCAGTCTCCAGAGTAGCTAGGACTACAGGCACGCACCACTGAACCTGGCTAATTTAAAAAAAAAAAAGTTAATAGAGATGAGGTTTTGCTATGCTGCCCAGGCTAGTCTCAAATTCCTAGTTTCAAGTGATCCTCCTGCCTTGGCTTCCCTAAATGCTAGGATTGCAGGTGTGAGCCACCATGCCAGAACTGTCTTGTTCTTAAAGTTCTGATTTAATCATTTAAACAATATGTATAGAATTTTGCATAGGAAATAAAGATCAAAACCATAGAGAAGTGAGAATCACTTGTAAGTGCTAGAGGACAGTAGCAGTTACATAAGTTAAGGGTCTCTTGCATTAAGCCCAGAGGAGATAGTCATGGCTTAAACATGGATGGTAGCAGTGGTTGTGCATTAGTTTGTTCATGAAATGGACCCTGCCTGAAATTTTACAGAATTAATATTCACTGACATCAGCTTATATGGAATAATAACACTGAAATAATACAGATAATATTGATGTCTTTTCAGTGATATCTAAATAGAATTATTTATTAGCTAGAATTTAAGTTTTATTGGAGTAGGAAACTTTGTATTCTGAAATGCCAAATATGCTGAGATATATGCATGCCATCTACAATATTTATATCAAAGTCCTTAATGATAGGTGTATTTGGAGACTTGAGTTTCTGGATAATGATACAAAGAATCATTTGAGGCTTACAAAATACTGATCATTTGGCATTTTCAGTTATGTAAGCAAGAAAACATGTCTATCATTTCATGGACATCTGTGTAGTCTTCACCTCAACCTGAATCTCTTAAAAAAAAAATCAGTGGAACTTCCTGTCAGGATTGCTTTAATACAACTTATCTGGGGGCAACTCTAGTTATAGAGAAGAATTCTGCTGATATTAAAGAGCTGAAGTGGAATTATGTTAAATTTTTGCTGACTTTAAAATAAAGAAACCTGTTAGCTGTTATGACCTCTAAACTTTAAATGTATGATACTGTAAATGTCCATATGCAGAAATCTCAAAAACAAAATGAGATATGGTTAATCACCTTTCAGAAGCAGAGTTTGTTAAAAGCAAGTATGCAGTTCAGCTGTTTACAAGTTGAAGCTTCTATAGGAAAGTCTTTCAGGGAAAGATATAAAGTTTGTTTTACATTGACTTATGTAAGCACTTTACCTTTTGCACTCTATGAAAAAGTAAACTCTTTCTGGCGAGAGATTCTTCTTTCATGATGGTATTACTCATACAGCGAGAATTCATTGAACAGTAAAAGACGTTGATGATGCATTTGATGTGAGGTAGAACTCTTGTGTGCAAAAGACAGGAGAAATTTATCTTTCCATATTTATTTGCGAGGTGTTTTCAAATAACTCTTCTGATAGCATATGACATACCAATTAGCCCTGGATCAAAGAGGAGTGAGTTATGGGTATTTAGAATGTTTCTAAGCTGAAACACCCAGTCCCTTCCATCCAACCACATTGGCATCCATTTAGATAGGTAAGATTTGGAAAATCCCCAGGAAAGAGCCAGATTGTCACAGTATGCAAGAAAGTGTTACTGTATAGCAAAAGAAACTTAGTTAAAGTGTATTTAAGAAGATTCAAATGTCAGTATAAGGAAGATCTGTGCAGAAGTTTTATTAAGCATGGGAATGAGCAACGAGGAGACTGCTCATCACATAAAATGTTCAAGCAGAGAATGTTCATCTTTCAGGACTATTGAATACTAGAGGTGAGAAATCTGATTAAATTATTTTCTCCAAACTCTGGTATTTTAGAAAAAGTTTCTTAGGCTTAGAGGCCATTAACTTTTGGTTGACTAGTAATTTAAGTAAGTCGGCTGTTTTAGAAGCAGATTCAGATACAGGGATTTCAGGTGACTTGACTTTATTGAGACAGTGGTCTCAATAAAAACAGATTGAGAGAAGCAGTATAAGACAGGGAAGGAGTTAAAAAAGGATGCAGTTTCAGCTGAGTTTCGCTTCAGAGTGATCCCATGTGGAACTCTGGAGCATAAATTGTGTGTAGAGATTCTCTCACTTGGAGACAAAGCGGGCATAGTTTTAAATTCCAGTTAGTATTGGTCAGTCATCAGCTATGAGAGGGCACTATATTGCAGGTGAGGTGGCTCTTAAATGTCTAATGCCAGTTCTCTAGAGAAGAAGACAGCTGTAAACTAAGAGCGGCTAATACTCAGAGCAGCTGGGGAATGGGTGTGCTGGCCCTATCTACTATGTTAACAAAAGGATTCTCCTCTGCATTAGAAACAAAAAATAGGAACAGGAGTGAGCTGCTAGAGAGAAGCACAGCACTGACTTCACAGCAGCCATACATGAAAACTGACCATATGTTTGAGACCATGTAATGTGGAGATGGATATTCCATACTTAACTACACAGCCTTAAAGGCATCAGCACATACCAAGAACACATGCTTACAAAGCTGGCCTAGAGTCAAGAAGAAAAAAATCTCTGCTGTATTAGAATGTGCAATTGAAAAAGCAGGGAACATCCACATTTTTATAGTTTAATTGCTTAAATCACTGGTCTCTAGTTATTTAGAAAAGAAATACAGTACTTGTGAAAATGCTTGGTAAGTAGTTAACCTATTGCAACTTTTACAGTGTTAACCATAGGGCCATCAGGTAGAAGTGTAAGAAGCTGTGCCTTACAATGGTAAGTACTTTTTGAAAAAGAAAAGTGTTTTAGAGTCTTACATTTTGAGACTTAGAATATTAATGTGTCTCATTTTACTCTCAGGAAGGCTGGTGGGAAAGAAGTACTTTGTGGTGGTTTATTTCTGTTAAACAAGTGGGCATTTTAAGGCTGTTGCTCAAACTAGGTAAAAAATTGCATCATTCTCATGGTATTTTCAATAATTGCCACCCTCTTGGCCCATCTTATCTGTTATTCCATGAATACCTCATCAAGTTTCATCCCCCAGTGCTTACTTTCAAACTGTTTTACAGAAAATTTTAGTATACTTCCTATATAACCCTTCAAAGGCTATGTAGGAATTATGCTAAAGGTATCCAAGGCTGCTTTTTGTTTATCAGTGTTGTCTAGAAAAATTTTAATGTTTTTCTTCTTCAGCACCATAATACTACCGTTGACTGGGCATTTTTGTCGAAGAAGGAGTGTTCAAAATACGGAGGAACGGTGGTGGGGAACAACTGTGATTTTGTTCCTGATATCACACTCATGTCTTTTATCCTCTTCTTGGGAACCTACACCTCTTCGATGGCTCTGAAAAAGTTCAAAACTAGTCGCTATTTTCCAACCACTGTAAGTACCTCAGCTTTAAATCATTTTCATTGGATTTACACTGTATCAACAATAATACAACTTTATAAGGTGAAAAAGGCGCCTGTAATTCAACCTGTCCAATATAATTTTGTGCGTTTTAATAATTACACTTCAATCTTTGTTCACGTGCATACTTACTAAGTGTAGTCAAGCTTTAGGAAAACCTTCCAAGGATTTGCTCACATAATTCCGTCATATGTCTCTCATAATTCTGAATGTGCTGAAAGGAAAAGAAAATGAGATGAATTCTACCTAAAAATGCATGAGTGAAGAAAAAAACCTTTTAAATTCATAGTGTTTAAGTACATAAGCAAAAACTCTTCATGTTAATCAGGAATTTCCATGTTGTAGAATTTCTTCAGCAGCTGTACATGTGAGTATTTTAGTACTTGAATTATGGGCTGTGGGAGTAAACTTAAATTGTGTTGTTACACAAGTACTGGTATAAGATACGAGTGTCATATGAGCCAAACTTCCCTTCCCGTAATGATGAATGCCATAGTAGAGAAAAACAGATAATTAAACTGAGTTGTACAAACATCCTGTCTCCCATTAAAATGCTTGAGTGAGCTTAGTCAAAACTGTGGGTTCATGGAGACGCTACAAGATAAGACCAACATTTAGTTAATGGCATTTTGGTTTTTTGCCTGCAGAATCAAACTAAGATAATCCTTTGCTTTACAGTTCAGTTCTTAGTGTTTAGGATGTCAGTATTTCTTAGGCAGTCTTGATTACACCTGATTTATATCAGTGACCTGCTCTGTACAGCTGACATCTCATGAAATAGCTCTTCTTGCATTTTGTGTAAAAGGAGTGGAAAAATTTTAGAATATGTATCACTTGATGAAATTCCTTTTTCTAATTCCTAGGAAATGAAAATATATTTACTTTCACCTAGAACATTTTTGACTCTCTGATTCTTTTTATAAAATTGTAAATAAATGGGAGGGTTGATAATGAAATGTCTAGAACTAGATAGCCCAAGGAATGAAAAATTTCCACAAAGTGAAATGTAGAAAGAAGCATTCAACTTAGTCTGCTTAACATGGGCATTACCAGCTGGTGCTCCACAGGCAGAAAGAATTCAACCCACAGCCATTCTTTGTTTAGCCTACACACAGACAGACACACAGACACACACACACACACAGACACACACACACACACATACACACACACACACCTCTCTCTCTCTCTCTCTCTCTTTCTTTCTCTCTCGCTCTCTCTCTCTCTCTCTCTCTCTTTCTTTCTCTCTCTCTCTGTCTCTCTCTTACTTGAGGCTTTGGTAGAATCTGTACTTTGCAGGTAGTTATTTTTCCAAGTCTCTATTGTCTAAGACTTGGCTGTTTCACACATTCAGATTAACTGCCTGTTCTTAAAGACACTGGGAAATGTGCTTTCTTGATATACCTCTTCAACCGTATGAGTTTTGTGTAGAACAGATTCCTGGGTAAAAATCTTGGAGGACAATTTTTTATTGTCTATTGAGGTTTTTTATTCTTATTAATTATTAATTTATTGGGGATCTTGGTTTTTGTTTGTATTTTTGGCTTATACTTTGTAAATCATCACCACCTGACAAAGTCTGATATAATTTAAGTATACTAAGTGGAGAAGAGGGAAATTTATGAAGCACTTAATAAGTCATAATTTACAAAATAAACTAGTTTCAACCTTGAGATGAATGGGGATTCTTTTCCTAAGTTTTAAAATCTTAATTGAGAAACAATAATTTTAAACTATATATTTCTGTAGCACAATGTGACATATGTATATGTTGTAGAATGATTAAATCAAGCCAATTAACATATCCGTAACCTCACATACTTATCATCATTTTACTGTGAGAACATTTAAAACCTAATCTTTAGCAATTTAAAAATATACAACACATTATTATTAGCTACAGTCATCATGCTGTGCAATGGATCTCAAAGACTTATTCCTCTTGTCTGATACTTTGTACATTTTGACTAATATTCTCCCATTCCCCACCTCCAGTAGGCACCATTCTACTGTCTACTTATATGAGCATGACTTTTTAGGTTTCACATATAACTGAGATGATGTAGTATTTGTTTTTCTGCGTTTGGCTTATTTCACTTCATATAATGTCCTCCATTGCTAATGACATAATTTCATTTGTTTTAAGCCTGGATAGTATTCCATTGTTTAAATGTGCCACATTTTCTTTATTCATCTATTGATGAAAACTTAGGTTGATTGTGTATCTTGACTATCGTCAATAATGCTACAAAGAACATGAGAGTGTTGATATCTCTTTGAGATCATGATTTCATTTCTTTTGGATATATACACAGAAGATAGGGTTACTGGATCATATAGTAGTTCTAGTTTTTATTTTAGGGGGAAACTTCCATACTGTTTTCTGTAATGGCTGTTCTAATTTACATTCCCACCAACAGTGTACAAGGGTTACCTTTTCTCCACATCATCACCAACACTTATCTTTTATCTTTTTGGTAATCATCCCAACAGGTGTGAGGTCATATCTCATTGTGGATTTAATTTGTACTTCCCTGATACTTAATGATGTTGAGCATTTTTTTAATATAGCTGTTGGCCATTTATGTATCCTCTTTGCAAAACATCTATTCAGGTCCTCTGTCTATTAGGTGAATTGTTTTTTTACTATTGAGTTGTTTGAGTTCCTTACATATTTTGGATGTTAACCCCTTATCAGATGTATGATTTGCAAATATGTTCTCCCATTCCACAATTTGTCTCTTCACTCTTTGATTATTTTCTTTGCTGTTCAGAAACATTTTGGTTTGATGCAATCTGTTTGTCTATGTTTGGTTTTGTTGTCAGAAAATAACCTTATGTTGAGGTGTCATGTTAGGTTGTTTATTTGATACTAAGAATAATCTTTGCCCAGACTAATGTCATGGAGCTTTTCCTTTATGTTTTCTTATAATAGTTTTACAGTTTCAGGTCTTATATTTAAATCTTTAATCCATTTTGAATTGATAATTGTATATGGTATGATATGAGAGTCCAATTTCATTCTTCTGCCTGTGGATATCTAGTCCTCCTAGCACCAAGTATTAAAGAGACTACTGTTACCCCATTGTATGTTCTTGGCATCTTTGTTGGAAATCAGTTGGCCATAAATGCTTGGATTTAATCCAGGACTCTTATTCTATCCCATTGATCTACATGTCTGTTTTTCTGCCAGTACCATGCTATTTTGATTACTATAGATTTGTAGTATATTTTGAAATAAGGTAGTGTGATGCTTCCAGCTTTGTTCTTTTTGGTCAAGATTGGTTTGGCTCTTTGGGGTCTTTTGTGATTTGATAACAAATTTTAGGATTATTTTTTCTATTTCTGTAAAAAAAATATTAGAATTTGGTTAGGGTTTGCTTTGAATCCACAGATTGGTTTGGTAATATGGACTTTTTAATAACACCACTTCTTCAAATTCATGAATACAGGATATCTTTCCATTTACTCATGTCTTCTTCAATATATTTCACCAATTCTTTATAATTTTCAAAGTATAGCACATTCATCTCCCTGGATAAATTTATTCTTTTTTTGTTTGTTTGTTTTTTAAGTGTACTTTAGGTTCTGGGGTATATGTGAAGATCATGCAGGATTGCTGCATAAGTACACACATGGCAATGTGGTTTGCTGCCTACATCCCCCCGTCACCTACATCTAGCATTTCTCCCCATGTTATCCCTCCTTGACCTCCCCACCCACCCACTTTCCCTGCCTTGGAAAAGCACACAACAGACCCCAGTGTGTGATACTACTTTTCCTGTGTGCCTGTCTTCTCATTGTTCAACATCCGCCTATGAGAACAGGCAGTGTTTGATTTTCTGTTCTTGTGTCAGTTTGCTGAGAATTATGATTTCCAGATCCATCCATGTCCCTACAAAGGACACAAACTCATCATTTTTTATGGCTGTATAGTATTCCATGGTGTATATGTGCCATATTTTCCTTGTCCAGTCTGTTGTCGATGGGCATTTGGGTTGATTCCAGGTCTTTGCTATTGTAAACAGTGCCACTATGAACATACATGTGCATGTGTCTTTATAGTAGACTGATTTATAATCCTTTGGGTATATACCCAGTAATGGGATTGCTGGGTCAAATGGTATTTCGATTTCTAGGTCCTTGAAGAAGCACCACAATGCCTTCCACAATGGTTGAACTAGTTTACACTCCCACCAACAATGTAAGAGTGTTCCTATTTCTTTTTTCTTTTTTTTCTTTCTTTCTTTTTTTTTTTTGTAGAAAGTCATTGAAAGTCATTTATTTAGAGAGAGGAGGAGAGAGAAACAGCTAAGTTAGCTAAGTCTCATGCTGAGTGAGAGAATCCAGAAAGATGGGATCCAGGAGAGGAAAGCAGCTTCCACACTGAATGGAAGGGAATAGAGAGAGATGGAGTTAAGGAGGGGAAGACAGCCTTCCATGAGAGACTGTGGAAGGGGACCCCAGAGGGGAAATCCAGGAAAGAGAAAGATGGCTTCCACGAGAGTGTTCGTGGAAGGGGACCCCAACATGGAGTTCCAAGAGTGTTCCTATTTCTCCACATCCTCTCCAGCATCTGTTGTTTCCAGATTTTTTAATGATTGCCATTCTAATTGATATGAGGTGGTATCTCAATGTGGTTTTGACTTGCATTTCTCTAATAATCAGTGATGATCAGCATTTTTTCATGTTTGTTGGCCTCGTATATGTCTTCTTTTTAAAGTGTCTGTTCATATCCTTCACCCACTTTTGAATGGGTTTGTTTGTTGTTTCTTGTAAATCTGTTTTGGTTCTTTGTAGATTCTGGATGTTAGCCCTTTGTCAGTTGGGTAGACTGCAAAAATGTTTTCCCATTCTGTTGGTTGCCAGTTCACTCTAATGATTGTTTCTTTTGCTGTACAGAAGCTCTGGAGTTTCATTAGGTTTCATTTGCCTATTTTCACTTTCATTGCCAATGCTTTTGGTGTTTTAGT